AGGCAAAGAAAACATAAGACAGATGCTGAATAGAGAACTCTAGGCGAAGAAACTCAGCGAGAAATTAAGGAGGCAACTACAATTAGAATACAAGCAAATATCTTAGAGAGTCTATTTGAAAACAAGCAGGTCTGAAATCACAACAGACTCTGGAATTTCATTAAAAATAAGAAAAAAGATATTATTGGGCAATATCCGACACTAACTATACAAAAAACAGAGCTTAGTGTCTACTACAATAGAGAAGAGCCAGAGGTCTAGCCCAAGAACCAGTACGAATCATGTTTTTACTGACAGAAAAGTAAAGACAAATATCCCCTGAGCATGGCCCATGCACGCCCACTCAACAATGGAAGACATCTCCATTACCTTACTGGCGTAATTAAACTACTAAAAGATGGCCTTAAGAATCCTCAAGAGAAGCAATTGGCCCTGACAATCTACCAACAACGACTGCTGAAGAACTATGCAGAGATCATAGGGACCGATGCTGTGTCTGTATATACAAGCAAAGTATACACAGCCGCCCGCCGCCGGTGACTGCCAGAGGATTGGCTAAACGCTAACAAAACATCAATAGCTGCTCAACAAGAAAGGAAACAATATGCTGACCGGCAAACTACAGACCGCACGAATATCCCTTACCTGTGTGGCATGCAAAGTCATGGAAACACAATCATATTCAGGAGTGTGACTGGACCCAACTTTCGACCAATAACAATATACTTGCAACTGCCAACATGGTTTCAGGAAGTCTCACAGTGTGAGACTCAGCTGCTTTCCAACCTGTCAATGACCTAGTTACAGGCTGGATAACAAAGAACAAAGTCAAGAACGTGCGAATCCTACGACTTCGCAACAGGCTTTCGACAGCAGTCGCCAGCCATAATAAACTGCTTCATAAGCTAAACTACTATGGAACAAGGGGAAAGATACTTTGATTATGGATACGTAATGGCTGACCAAAAGGCCACCAAATCTGTAGTGTTAGATGGTCAAAAATCAAGAAAATGTACGCGAGGTAAGTCAGGTTGTGGTTTGTTCCCCCAAGGGAACAGTGCGCTGCGGCCCCCCTCCTGTTCCCTCGTTTTCTATAAACGACATATGTAATGGGCATCGACTACAACACTCCGATCTGTTTGCAGATGATTGGTCTCATACTACAAACCCAATCAGAAGCGAGCTGATACAGAGCTTCTCCGCAAAAGGATATCGATAAGCTTGTTCAATGGTCCAAAAACTGGCAAATGTCATTTAATCGCCAAAAAAAAGTCTGCACACACCACTGCACATAACAAGAAAACTAAACGCACATAAAAGCAGACCTATAACAAAATCATGGGAACCTAAGCTCAAAAAGGAGGAACATCAAATCTCTACCTTACCGTCGGCGTGGATTCACTGATGACGCATCTCTTGGTCCTACCCACATCAAGTCGTCGGTCGAAAAGGGAAGGCAACGGCGGGGCCGCTAAATTTCAATCCGCAGGAATCCTATGTAGATGCCCAGAACTTCAAGGAGATGGCATACTAAAGCATACGTTGAGGCGAGCCCTCGAGTATCGGCAAGTAGTCGTCTGGGATCCACACACTCAGAAGGATATCACCTCCCGCTGGAGAAAGTGGGCAAAGACGAAAAGCAGCACGCTTCGTAACAGGGAATTACCAGCAAACTGAGAGTGTTACACAAATGATCGCAGACGCTAACAAATGGCCCTCCTTGCAGGAACGCAGTTTGTCAACCGAACAGGCCCTATTTGGAAGATAATCAACAGGACAGGCAGCAGTCGAGACCTTTCCATCTTTCATCACCAAAAGCACCAGCATATGCGCGGCACACACCAGCTCACAACAACAACATCAGAAACCCGGAAGCAGATGGGTACAGGTTCAGCTCTTTCCTAGAACAATCAGAAGCTGGAATCTGCTACGCGGAGTCAACTAACTGCACGTAGTCCACACAGCACAGTCAATTCCACTGGTCTCTCTGGAAAAACATTGATGGCAGGCAGTTTCGAGTGTTATGCGCACGCTCGAGGAAGTGAAACGCATCTCCAGCTGGGCAACTACAAACAGCTCGCAACAGCCTATTGGCCGGTATGCCTAGTTCGCACTCAGTAATGAGTGGCCTGGCCCAGAGAAGTCCTCGATCTCTGGAAACGTTACTGGTCTACACTTTTGAAAAATGTTCTAATGCAAGCCTCTCACCACGTCGCACAGCTGGAGTTCTTTCGCACGTCCCATGGACGTTTTATAATCTCACGGACTGTCCAGTATAGAAGTCAGAAGTAGAAGTAAGGAAGTGCGTGTTTGTTCATCAGTGTGCGTTCGGTGTGTGATGTGTGCGTGCATGTGTATGTGTGCGTACGGTATGTGTGTGTGCGGGTGCGTGTGCATGTGTGCGATCGCAGTGCATGTGCGTGAGTATGTATGAATGCGAGGCGTGTAATACTGTGTGCCGGCGTGCGTCGTGTACGTGTGTGTGTGCGTGCGTGCGTGCGTGCGTGGCTGCGTAGCGTGGTGTGTATGTGTACGTGTGCGTGCCGCGTGCGTGCGTATTTGTGTATGTGTGCGAAGCGTGCGGTGTGTATGTGTGTTGTGTGCCGTGCGTGCATCGTGCGTGCGTGCGGTGGTGTGTAATGTGTACCTACGCAGGGGCGTAGCTACGGGGGGGCCCTGGGGGGGCACATGCCCTCCCACAAAATTTTCTGTTGCCCCCGCAGGTGCCCCCCCCCCCGCACCACTCAAAAATTCATGCTTTATAAAAAAACAATTGAATTACCAAAACACAAACAATGCCGTTAGAACAGTAAATCACAAAGAATAGATAGGTTCGAATCTTTGGTTCAGAAACGACAATAGACGCGAATATCCTTGACGATATTATGGTGGCCTCTATACATTTCAGGCTACCTCCAAGCAGTTGAAAAGTCAATTATATATTGTGGCCCCCTTCCCCCCGAAATGGTAAGGCCCTCCCCCAGTGCCACCCCCCCCTGAAAAATCCTAACTACGGGCCACTGTACCTGCGATCTAGTGTATGTGTGTAATGGTGCATGCCGTGTGCGTGGCGTGCGTTGCGTGTTGCGTCGTTGCGTGCGTGTGCGTTGCGTGAGCGTTTTGGCCTGTGTACAGTATTTGCAGGCAAATTTTGACCAGCTGTTTTGCAACAACCATACAAAGTTATTTGGGAAAGCCTGTATTGCATAAAGTTTCCCGGAATGGCAGCCGCCTACGACAATAATTGCTGATATAAAGGATCGAGGAATAGTAATTACACATCAAATTTCAACAGGCTTGAATTAAACGTTAGGAGTGAAATCCGGTGCCTGCATGCCAGAGCTGCAGTGTTGCGTGTAGCGTGTAACGTCTGTCGTGTAGCGGGTGTGCGGTTGTAGCGTGTGTGCGTGTAGCTGTGTGCGTGTTGTGCGCACTACTATGTGTATGTGTATATCTATTGTGTGTATGTGTATATCTAATGTGTGTATGTGGTAAATATCTATCTATGTGTGTATATCTATGTGCCGTTTACAGAGCCGCGCGCATGTGTATGTGTAATATATGTGTGTAAATATCTGTTGTGTGTGTGTATATCATACGTGTGTATGTGTATATATGTGTATATGTCTTATTAGTGTGTATATTCTATGTGTGTATGTGTATAGCTTTTAATTGTATATATAAGAGCCGCGCACAATGTCTAAATGTCAGCCATAGTCGATGTCGTCGTCTAGCTATGTGTGTATATCTAAATTGTGTATGTATGTGTATATCTATTGTGTATATGTGTGTATATCTATTGTGTTGTAAATGTGTATTATCTATGTGTGTATGTGGTATATCTAATTGTGTGTAATTATGTGTATATGTGTGTATAATGTCCCCTATTGTGTGTATATCTATGTGTGTCAATATATGTAATATGAATATGCCGCTAGACAGAGCGCGCGCACATGTTATGTCAGCATCGTCGATGTCGTCGTCAGCTTCTACGTTGTGGAAGGTGTGCGCGTCGTAAAAGTGTAATGTACGTCGTATCTTACGTCCGTAGCGTCAAGCATGTTCCGCTATGTTACGACAAAGTATGACGCAAGTTATGACAGTGATAGAAACAGCAACACATGGAGTAAAATCATCACGTGGCTAAATAAATAGCCCTATATTCACAAATTCACGAAAGATTCACAAATCCAAGTGTCAAGAATTCAATAAAGTTTACAATAAATCAAAATGATTAACTATTGGAAGTTTAACGAAAAATCAATAAATCGAATATTGAAGTTGTACAATCGTCTGCTTGTTCATAATCGCGCGCGGCATCTGTCCTTGTCTTCTGGCATGCATCTCTCCGAAAGGGTAAGTGCCATGTGTGGCTCACTCATTGCACAACCTGGAAGAAAGGGATGAACGAAGCCCATTTACATGTCAATGGCAGTACAATGTAGTTTAGGAGCTCACCCGTCCTCTCCGAGGACAGAGCGATAGTTGGATGGAAGATGCTGGAATCTCGTCTGCTATGTCTTAACGCGCGCCCCATCTGTCTTGCCTGCTGGCTATCTCTCGCGAGTGGTAGTGCCGTGTGTCACTCAATGTCGAGGGGGAAAATTGAACAAAAAACAAATAAATGTGTGGAGTACCTGTCACCAGAAAAGCTTTGACCACCCCCAACCCCTTGCCCGCGGGCAAAGGCCCAGGAACTTTCTTTCATGGCGAAGAGAAAATATTAAACGCGTCGCGAAAGCGAACGTAACAACGAGTTGCGAATAACGAGGCCGGCAATACGCGAATAACGAGCCGCAATACGCGAATAACGAGCCAATTACGAACTAAATAACGAGCAGGCAAATACGCGAATAACGAGCCCGCAATTACGCGAATAGGTAACGAAGGGCCGCAAATACGAATACGAGTCAGGCGCGGTGCAATACGGCGAATTACGAGCAGGCAATACGAACGCCGAATTATTAACGGAGAGCCGCAATATAACAAATAAACGAGCAGCAACGCGAATAACGAGCCGCAATATACGAATAACGAGCCGCAATACGCGAATAACGAGCCGCAATACGCGAATAACGAGCCGCAATATACGAATAACGAATAACGAGATAATACGAATCGCGAATCGCGAATATAGAGATGAACATATGTGCGTGTGTGGCAAGAACATGCGTGCATACGTTTCACCTCATACCCAACCAGCTCTGCTCACGCAATCAGTCGTCAAGTGGTTCTGTCGTGGAGAGAGACCTGGATGACTGGGATGACTCAATAAATCTGGGATGACTCGATCACTCTGGAAACATTGAACAACAAGAGCAGCAAACAACGAAGCCAAATCACATGGAGCAATACGTAGAATGTAAAATATAATAATGTAAAACAGAAAGTAAACAGTGCAATGTTGTTTAGGACTCACCTGTCCTCTCTTGAAGACAGACGATAGTGGATGGATGCTGGAATCTCGTCTGCTTGTCTATCCGCCCATCTGTCTTGCCTCTGCTCTCTCCCCAAGTGGTAGTGCCGTGTGTCGCTCATGTCGAAGGGAAAAAAAATTTAAACAAAAAACATTACAAAAAGTAGGTGCAGGGTTTGGATCACTCTTAGTCGGACTCCTCTTCCTTGGCCGGTTCAGCATGGTTAGACCATTGCTGACCTCAACCTTAGAATCACAGGAGTACGCAAGCCCCCACACGACGGCAACGTGGTGATCCATTGTGGGGGACCTGAAAAAAAAAACAAAGAAAAAAATGAAAAATCGAATGATAAATGATGATGTCGTTTTAGTACTTAGTATGTTAAAATGTTAGTTTTAGTAGTTAGTATGTTAGCTATGCTAGTAACGCGTTATTATAACGCTAGCAAGAAGAAGGGCCACTTACACTAGATCGGGAGTCCAGTAGTCTCTCTCTCTCACTTCTGCAGGAGGTGAGGCTGCATATCTTACCAAACTACAGGCCATCAGTGCGGGTCGACCCAGCGCTTCATAATAACAGCTCCGCCATCCTCTCCAGTGCGAGTCTGTCATCTGATGCTGACGCTGCTGCTG